AAAAAAAAAGCATCTAAAACAAGTTCTGATGTATAAGGTGCGTAAGGTCTTCACCTGTTCAGTGGACTAGTTAAAAGTGGCGTAGATCAAAAGTATTTGAAGTTTCCTATTTTGTTATGAACTCACTACATTTCGCTCTCGGTCATCCTGCCAGACATAGTATTGGTAGATTATTGGTAGCAGTTCACTGCAAAAGAGAAGTTGTACCGTTAAAGCAACCGTTTTGTGAGACTTCCACTTTAGCAGCACAGCAAATGCATGAGTGTTCACTTGCGCAGCAGTTGTGATGGTTTTCTTGAAGAAAAAAAAAAAAACTTCAATTCCTTTTTACGACCACATGGAGGTTACCTGTAGGAATCTGTAAATAATGCTCTAGTCAGCATTGCATATTCCAAGTTCTATAACCGGTTTTAAAGAAGGCTCTTTTTCGACTATAAAAAAGTACTAAACTATCTTTTAAAGAAGCCTCTTAAGAAACGAATTTTTTATGTTCTGTCGTTTGAAAGCAAAGTGTCCGTTTAGGTGTTGTCACGGAGGCAGCAGGTCGTCGCTACTCTGGCACTGATTTTTCAACATCGTACCCCCCGAGTTTCTCAAAGCATTGTTCACTGATGAACAGGGTGCATTTCAAATGACAGTTCAGAAGCAGGTGTTCTGTCATGGACAAGAATGAGAAAAATTATTTTGCTACAAATTCCTTTATATGTAGTGGTTAATTACCCACTGAACTACCTCCCTTCTGTCTATTGAGTAGTATGAATCAGAAGCTGTTTGGAACGAAAGCAACCGCTAGCTGTGAGAAGTACTTCAAATACAAATTTTAGTATTGTTTTTGGCCAGAACTAATGGGACTGTAAATATTTACAGTAGCAACTATAGGTGAAGAACAGGAAGGATTAGCTTTCAGGAGAAGACAGGCCAACGTAGCATAGTTAAAAAACGTTGTTACTGTGCATTAAACCACATCACCAGTGCGCCAGTCGTATGAAACGCTGTAAGAATTTAAACAACCAAGACACTGGACTTTTAGGAAGTTAGGAACAAATGGGTGGACAATTCTAAATCTGCGAATGAATCAGGTGAAAACCAAAGGAAGATAGGTTGGAGGGGAAAGAAAAAGTAATCTTAAGGCTTGGCGTACTTAACTGCAATGATAGCGCGAATTTTTCAGGCTTTAATGAATATATAGATAAGTTTGAAGAATATATAGATAATTGAGGGTGGGTGGCTGAAAATCTCATCAAATGATATATGATGTACTTCATTTCTAATACTTAAATTAGGACGGAGTAAATGAGTAAGATTTGTAGTGTTGTTATTTGATCTTGGTGACACCGACTAGCAGAGATGGGCTAGGGCTTTGAGTAGAAGTTCTGTAGGGATTGTTTACTGACTTTAAGGACTATTTCACTCAAAATTCTTGGAATTTCGACCTTATATTCTTGAGGAGAAGCAAAGAGATTTGTTTTAAGCATTTTGTAGAAAAATTGGACTTGTTATTAAGGAACTGATCCTGATATATCATAGATGCTTGTTCTCTGCTTTAGACTAAACTGCGGAGGTGAAGTTACTGATGTCAAATAGGAAGACGGGTTTTGATTGTGTGAGGTTTACATGTAGATTTGTAAGATGATACTGTATTTGATCGCTAAGGACGTGTTTATGTGCTTTCAGTTGTTGGATGGTGAAGTGTTATATCATTTGGAAGAGTTAAAATAACAGTGATGTTTTTCAAGTTTTGTTTATAAATTAAGTATGCTCTCTTTTTCTAACATATATGTTTTTGGAGGATGAACCGTTTTAAGAAAAAGCATTTGATGTTTTGAAGCGGTTATTGTTTATTACTGCATACTTTTAAAGGAACTGGTTGACCATGTTTATTCTGTTGTTGTTGGACTATCTGAGGACTTTTTTATAATGTCGCATATTGTATAACAGCTCACAAGACTGAAGAAGTTCATTTTCTGTTATGGCATCACTGTAACATTATTGTTCTTTTAAATGGTAGTTCACTGTTTCATTTCTTAGTTTCAGCAAATTCATTATGAAAGCAGCTGGTACCCTCACGCTGACGCCAGTACAGCGGATGAGAAATGCAAATCTTCGGGTGTTTCGAATAGGATTGGCTGCAGTCTCCACTGCAGCAGTCGCATCTGGTCTTGGTTATTTTTATTTGTATGCCAAGCCGAAGTATCTCAAATATAAGAAGTATTTGGAGTAAGTTGTTTGTATTTTGGCGGTAGTGATAAAATATTTGTGTTGTGTTTTCTTTTCCTATATATTTCGTAACGTTTAAAAGGCTTTTTTGAATCGTGTGGTCACTAGTAATAAGTTCGTATTCGAGCTTTTTACTTTTAATGATGAAGAAGTTCTTCAGATCGTAGAGCAGTCTTTTGAAAAAGTGTTGATGAGGAATAAATAGTTTTTGAAATACTGGAATTTAGTAGAAGCATTTGCGGTAGTTAAGGTGTGTGGCACATAAGATGAAATGAAATAAGAAAATCTACATTTGTATGATTTTTTTTCAAGCGAAATTTGACTCAAAAATACTGTTTTGGTGTAGAAGTAACGCTGTAATGACATCTAGATACGTCACATTTGGACGTATGAGCAAGATGCAACCTTCTAAACGACTTTACAGCGTTAACTGCAGAAAACTGTTGGTTAGGACAGCAAGGTTTAAAACTGGATGGTGCTTAACTGGGTATTTTAAGCAAATAGGGATTTTGTAACGCAAATATTTAATAATATTTAACATTTTCGACTGCGAGACGGGTGTGGCAATACCGTGGCGAGCGTTCGTTGCTAACAAGATTTCGTGTTCAACTCCTACTTTAAAAAGTTTGATGTCTTTGAAGTCGATGGTTTGAGGATGTTGAGAAACGAGGCAATAACGGAACGTCGCTGTCTGGAACTTAAAGTTATCATTAGAATCACCAAAAGACTGATGACTGCGAGTTACGTGTGTCGGGATGCTGATTTAAGAGTTTGGCTAAGTGGGTTTTCTGAAGCATTCGGGAGCTAGACTATTTTTGTTTGGAAATTCTAGATTTCGATACTCATTTTAATGAATGTAGTGTCCGAAAAACGGGTGAAGCTGGCGATGAACTGGCCTATGCTGATCCTTCAGAAAGATGCTTTATTTATATTTTTGGTCTATCGACAGTTGAAGTAGCAGTAGCAGTAGCAGTAGTAGTTACAAGCAGAACTATTATTGTTTTTTAATCAAAGTGTAGTAAAGACAGTTCTTTTCTAAGTTGAACGCTTAATACACTAATTTTTTAAATATACTGGTCCGGGTGACAGGTTCCTAAAGTTACCTCGTTTCTTTCGAGCATTTCGTATCATTTGTGATTATCAACCAGGTATGGTCCAGATAGATGAAATCAGAAGCTTAAGCATGTTTTACATCTTTGGTGCCACTTTGATGCTTTTTCCCGGCAGTACCACTTTGTACGACGTATATAAAATGTTAATGGTTTCGAATACTTCTTTTTCAAAATGATTTTTGAATATTTTTTGGCGTATTTTCATCAACAATAAAATAAGTTTTGTGGTTCTTTAGTGAGAGCCGCTCTTTTGATTTTTTTTTTTTGTGATTAAATGAGCAGGAAGCCATGAACCGCAAATCGCATTGTGATGGAGAAAACTTGGATTTTATCCAGAAGTGCAACGTTTAATGGCTGAAATGTTTTGAATTTTATTTCAGAGTTCCAGTCATTCCACACTTTACCAGGCTGATAAATTAAGCTTTTTAGGAATCAGGACGCAATGAAGCGGTGGATGGAAATTTGTGAGAGCGATCCAAGTATTATGCATACGTGTCCAGAAACCAGAGAAAAAAGACGTATGGAAAGTTGAGCGTTATTTTTCAGAAGTCATTGCTGCTTCACGTTACCTGCTCTCATACAGGTTGTGATGCTTATTGATGACGGTAGTTCTTTTGTCAGAAGTAGGTTTCATTAACATTTTTGCCTTCCTAACAGAGCATTTCACTGTGAACGTTGCACTCTTTAAAGTTTTAACTGCCTACATGTAGTTTTTATGCAGTTTAAATTAATTGTACGTTGACTCTTTGACTTTACAGGCTTCGTAGATCTGTCTCATTTTCATTTTCTGAAAATACCGTATTGAGTGGTAGAGTAAAGCAGGTTTTTTGTTTCTGAAATGCTCATCTCTCTTTTTTGTAAGCTTTAGGTGGTCTTATTGAACTTTGTTATTTGGAAGTAAAATTTGGCAGTATCCTTCAATATCCAGCAATTAAACGAGGTCTGTATTAAAGGATGTTCAGTGACGCAAAATTTGAACGGGGAAAAAATTTGATTTATTTATGTAGATTAATAGTTGTTTGTAAATACAAAATCATAGGGACTTTTATACAGCACGTAATACTCGTCTTTATTCTCGGGACTGGGTTTAAAGTGAAAAGGGTCATAACTCCTCAATATCAATGTTGTAGCGAAGTTGTTTTGCAGAAAACCACGAGTAATAATTGTCGAACTCGATTATGTCTGAAATAAAAAACCTAATTTGCTGCTTAGGGTTACAAATTAAAAAAGAAGTGCCAGCGAAAGAAAGATGAAATAAGGGAGAAGGAGGAATGAAGAAAGAGTGAAAGGCTGCAGGCAGCGGAGGAGGGGTCCTACCTTCCATATTTTAAAGTATACAGCGTCACCAGACAGAACCGGTCAGGGAACGCTTGGTCTCCATTCTATCAACGAATGTTCAAGAGTGGGAAGTCCAAAGTTTCTACTGATCTTAGTGAGCCAGCATCTGAGTCAGACCTTGATGTTTGTCCTCTCAAAACTGTGTTCACGAAGAAAGGGCATGAATTTCCGTAACTTCATACTATTTATAAAAGTAAAATCACTTCAGCAGAAATATGAGGTAAGCAGGCTGGGAAAAACTCACTGATACATGCACCCAAGAGGGAAGTAGAAATCTCATCATTCCACTAGCGTCTGTCAGAAGAAAACTACGATGAAGAAGATGTGGGGTTGGAATTCAGGGTGCGACCTGGACGCCCCCTCGACTTGTAGACGTATTTAAAAGTAAGGAAGTCCCCTCAATCCTGTGCTTTTAGGGTAATGGGCCTATTAGCAAACGCGCGTGTGCAACGCAAGATGAAACTTAAACGCTCCTGCTCCCTTTAGGTGCATATTTTAACTGGCCGGCCCAATACCATGTGGAGTGAATCTGAGGGATTGCGATCGGCGTGCAACGCAGTAAGACCCGGGCGCAAGGCAGTTCTAAACTATTTACACGAAGGGAAGAACTTTAGTTGAAGACACCAATCACAGTTATTAGATATCAAGCAAATGAAGTCTAAACGTGGATGTAGGATGTTTACTTGAGGACTAAGCTTATCCGAGGAGGAAGGGACGCTGAGTTATTAATCTACTGCGGTGTACAGGAAGGGATCGTTTAGCAAGCGTTGCTCGTCTATTCGGCTTCCCTTGAGATAATTTTGAACTTGCTGAAAAAAAATGGCTTACATCTTCCTGGTTTCTCGCACACCATTGAACCTTCTATCGGGACCTGAGAGCACTCTAAACGAATATATGGGAAAACAATTTCCATTTCAGTTAAGTTGTTTGCCTTGTTAGTGTTGTCGTAGCGAATGGCAAAGCCAATATCTTCTTCAGACGTCATATACTGCCAGCTGAAAGTGCTTATTAAGGAAAAATGAACGCAAGCGAGTGTTGAGAATATGAAGCAAAAATGAGCTAACTTATGAAAAGAATAAAATAAAGATGAAGTATCTGTCAGATGTGGAGCACAAGCGCTATAAAGTTATTTGGAATTGCACGTTACACGATTACCTGATCCTTGTATTTGGTTTTACTTTTATTTCGATGAGATGCTTTTCTCCAGCATAAACCGTTGTTAGCTGGTCATAGTCCGTCATAGCGGTGTTTGGATCTACGTAATATGAATCTGGGACTGGTCCGAGACCGTAACGAATTTTTGATGGACATTTTGGATCCCCGTTCTCGTCGCACATTTTACCACCCCAGTGCATTGGCCAAGAATCTAATTCGACATAGTGGGATAATGCGTTCTGCCACTCATCTTCTGACGGCATCTCAATTAATTCCTAGAGGATTCTTTAATTTAGTTTTCCACATTAAAAACCAGTTTTACGGTTACTGAGTTGTCCTGTTAGTCTCGATTGTTAACTTCTTGTTATAGTTTTCTATCCAGCTACAAATGACTGTATTCTGCCTTACACCCTGAGGAATTTTTGCTAGGGCAAAGTAGCCTATAGATGCTCTTAGTTTGAGGGGGGGACGAAATTGAGTAAATGGAAAGGTCAAGGTGAACTATACGACTCAAACAGAATTTTTTTGCTGTGGTTATTGTGCAGTATTCACTGTACTTAGAAGAGGTTCTTTATATGATGAAGGTAGGTGCCGTGTTTTGATTAGTTCATCTTAGGTGTTCTTCTAGTAGCATTGGGTAGGAGTTCTTAAATAACTATTGAAAACTGACAATCGATTCCCTCCATGACCCTTCTGCAAAACCATATTTTTCTTCGCTTCGTACTGTAGTCAAAAGTCATACCTCTCCAAAGAAATCACAATAAGTAAACCCACGTATTTCTTCAAAAAAAAAAAACTGCTTAAGATTGACGGAGAAACAGTGTTTTTTAGCGTTACCTTCTGATGGTTTACCACCACCTATTCTTTAAACAGTCCCTGTGGGAAGGTCGATGTAGCCGAAAATTGTCACCTTAACCTGTAGATTAGACCACTAGGAGTAAATCGATTAGAGTGCTGATAACTACTAGGACTTTCACAATGAGTCCCTCAAAACCAACCGAGAACAACTTAATGTTATTAACCTTTTAACGTTGATGCAAAAGCCCTAAAATTCTCGCAGCGAAGTCATTGTTTCACCAATGTTTCCTAAGAAGTAGTCATACAGCACATTGCTCCTCTCCGCAAAAAAACTAAGGAAATTTTTCATTTTTACAGTGTTATACCATTGCTTACTCTTCACCAGTGAAACATCCTTCTTGTGCGGCACCAAAAAAAATTGTTTTATTTTTCATTAGTGTTCTTCAGTCAACCAAAAGCAGCTAAATGTTCATTATTCCGTGAATGTTTTTGGAGTTGACTTCAAATAATTACCTTTATTTTATCGGAGAGGAATGAAGACATAGCGTTAAAAGCGATCCGTGCCATTTCTGGTGCTCTAATTACAAGAATTTTTTTGAGAACGAGTGGATAGTGCTCTTGGAAAAGTAGTATCAGCGAAGTAAAAGAGGAGGCAAATGCTTTGCATGAATAATGGGCACTGTTGATGTGGTCTAGGTCAAAAATCAACATCATCTGTTCGAAGGCATGGTCATTCTGAAAAAAAAAAAAACTATTTTCCTGCGTAACTGCCAGTAAGCAGGAACAGAAAATGAGAAGTAGATATTAAAAAGTGGAAGCAAAATGAAAAAGCTTGTAGGAAACCGTTTAAAGTTTTTTATAAAGTTATCGTCCCTCAATTGTCATATATGTTTCAGCTTCACCAAATTCCATTAACAGGGAAAGCCTAGCATCTCTACGAACTGTAGTTATATGGCCTTTAGAAAGTGATAATTGTTTAACTTCCAAAAAAAAAGACATGCCGTCAAACTGAGAAAAAAATTAAAGGTGTTTCTACCAAAAAGATTCGTCGATTTTTTATTGCCAATGAGCGATTTCGCTCACTGTTATTAAAGGAATTGAAAGGCATTCAAGTGGGGCTAACTGCTTGTTTAATTTGAAGGGAATTTTTTTTTTTTGCTTCTGTTACTGCAGCTGGCCTAAAATAGTGATTCAATTTATTGGTAAATGCCGATGAATTAAGTAGGAAAGTCGCTGTGTAATGCGGGTATTCATGTATTTTTTTCCCTATCTACCGCTTAATTTGATACTAAATGTAAGGCGTGTTGTGCCGCATAATTAGTTATAAATAAATTAGATGAGGTGCCTTGTTAACGCATCTCTACACTTCCACTTGATCATTACCTAATTTTAAAGGAACTACAGGAAATGGTATAGAAGAAGAAAGTTGAAATTAATGACGCAAATTAAAACTGGTTCTCGGCACCTACAAATTTCGACTAAACATCTTTGCTCTTTTTGTTTCAAATAACTTTTGCTGTCATTGTGTTCTAAAAAATCTATTAGAATTAAGAGTTGTAAACCATTTAAAAATGGTTAAAAAACAAAATCACTTTGATTTCCGAAATGACAACCGCAGTTTCAGATATAAATTGGCTACTCTTCTACCAAAACAAACAACTGATGGAACAACACTACCTTTTAAAGCTTCTGCCAATTAAGTAACATTCTGAGTATTGATGGTAGCGAGACTTTTGTTTTCAAATGCTGCTCATAATTTTCGACTTTGAAAGTGTCGAAGCATTTGTCTAATAGGCAGACAGATTGGTTGTATCTATTAAGCTATTTGGTGCATTAGACCTCAGTGACAAATGCGATCGAAAAGAGGAGGAATCTAGTGCTTCACGTACCAAATCTATTATGAGTTCCCGAGAAATCAAACTAATCAAACTTTAGTCCCCATCTTTTTTTTCCTTTTTTTTTTTTTTCGAAAGGTGCTATATTACGAGCAAAAACAATAAACAATTCCTTTCTGTTTACCGTAGTTCTACAGAAAAAAACAAAAACGCAATTAAGAGTTTAAAGTTTATCAAAGGTCTGACAATCTTCCTTCTTTTGTTCGCCAAAGAAAACACAGTAAAGTGTTGTCGATGTTTAGACTTGAACTAAAGCAGGGAGAAAAAAATTGGAGAACAAGCAAAATGATTACAAAAATCAAAAAGAAAGAAGTCTACGTGAAATTACCTCTTTGCATTTCTGATCGCACAATTTCATTCCCTTTTCGACTGCCGCTAATGAATACTTTATATAGTCTTTCGATTGCACTGAACGAACCATACCTAAATTTTTTTTCCACTTTTTAATCCGCTTCCTTACTGGTAGTTTCAAAGAATTGTTTTCATATACAGTAATTTCTATTTTTAGTTAATTGGTTCGTTATTTGTTCTTCAAATTCAATTGCCAATGCGCTTAGCAACAATGCTCATACCTTCAACATCCAAATTGCCCAGCAATGACATAAGAATTGGGCAACCATCTTTGTCTGACAAATATCCATAACCGCAATATTTTTCCAAGATCTGCAAAAAGTGTTTTTTAAAAAATCTTAGGTTTCAATTAAATCAGCCAAC